GGTGGTAATTTACGATCGATGGGAGCTCGCCAAGGCTTTCGGTTCAAACTAGGAGGGATGAGATCGAGGGTGAAACGTGAAAAATAATGGGGACGGTGGTGAAACATTGTTGCGTCGAGTCTAATCCGAGTGGTGGGAGGGTTAATTGGATGGAGTGTTTGAGCTCGCAATTAGCGATTAGCAATTACTCGGTATCGAAATGGATGGAAACGGTGGGGAGGGTGGAAGGGTGGCTCGGCCTGTCTCGAGCCGACGGAGCGATTAATGAGGCAATCGGCTAATAACGCGTCACGCAAGAATACGCGGTAACCGTTTCGGTTCGCGACGCGTTCTCGTTCGTTTTCGATATTGTTACCGTTATTAGGCCCGAACCTAGAAAACTGGTGCTGCCTCCTCATCCTCACTCCCACGAGGATCGTGGCTCGTTAGACCGATTAGACCGCGTTTATTACACGAGCGGAACGGTTTCGCGGCCTCTTGAAACGGAGCCGCGCCAAAGATCGATGTTCCGCCATAGATAAGCTTTTCTCTCCTCTATATCTCCGTCTCTTCCAGTTCCTCCTTTCCTCTTTCTCTTTTTCTCCCCTCCTTCTATTTTACAATCGAGTATTAGCCGAGTAATGCGCTTTAATGGGCCCGCGTTCGGAGAATGGATGGACTCCGCGTCCATGTTCGCGCGCGCTCCAACTCGTTCGATTAACCCCTTCGCTCGTGAGTCCAGCATCCGCCAAGATATAGAACCCTCCTTCTCCACGAGGAATAAATGGCGTCGTTTCGCCGCTGAAGGGAATCGGTACGCGTTTCTATGACTGCATCACCACTTCCTTATCGCCTTCGAACGTGTTGTTTTGAACGAGAATTCATCCCTTTTTCTCTCTCTTTTTTTCCTTTCATCGGCCAGTTAACGAACGAATAAATATTCGAGAGAAATATATCGTCGACGGTCGAAAACGCTAACCAAACTACTAGGCTGAGATCTCTGAAAACTGAGGGGCGAAGAATTGGGCGCGAATCTCGAAGGAACGAATGAGATGGTCATCCGACGAATTTCTCGGAAAACGATAGGTAACTGGCCCAGGTGAAATATGCTCGAGGCCCAAACGAGGATAAAGCTTTGCTAATTGGTAGCGAGGACGAGTGTGGTGTGCGCCTACACTAGCATCGGTTCGCGAGTCGCGTAATTCCGGCTAATTTATTTGATTGCACCAGCATGCCCGACTCCGCTCGCCGTAATAAGACTTGCCCTCGCCCCTTTTACGCTCCTTCTCCTTCTCCTCCTCCTCCTCTTCATCTTTCTTCTCCCGCATCTCCTCTTCTACTTCTTCTTGTTCTTTTGTAGAATCCTCTCGTCCCCCCTACCAGTCTCTCCCCTCCTCTCTCCCCCCGAGAGGACGAAAAGAAAATTGGCGAGCTTGTCTCCGCCTTCTTTTTCGAATTCGAGTTTACCTCGTTCTCGTCGAAACTTCCAAACATCCTCTTTTTTCTTTCTCCTTTCTCGCGATCGAAGGAAGAAAACAATTTGAAGACTTGAAAAATTATTTTTTTTATTCGTCGAACGAATGATCGAATAGGGTTGGTGGCCTCGAATATATACATATATATATACACTTTCTTCTTCTTAACAGCCCTTAACGAGCGAGCGAAGAGGTAGCGAGCGGGGCTGTCCACGCGCGTTTTATACGCACGCGAGCAGTTGTGTGGCCCTTAGATACAGCGTAAGGAGTCTTAATAACAATGTCGTTTATAGTTAGTACATGGGCGGAGGTTAGTTAGCGTGGATCGCGGATGTTTCGCGGCGAGGGGAAAGAGAACGCTAATAAAACACAATTAGCGGCTCTACCGAGCCGACCAATCACCGGATCCCGCCACTCTCTATCCTGTACGCACGCGTAAAACTCCGGCTCCGGTTATTTATG